TGTCCTCGAGCTTTTTCTTATTGGATAAGATTTTTGTAAGGAACTTAGCATAGGAAGGCATTTGTGTGATGGCTTCTGTAAAAGGTACATTGATATTCGATTATTTTAGAAGTTAAACGAATTTCTTAAATTGCCAATATTTTTAGATTTAGCTAACCGTTGAGGGTACGATATCACTGGTTTGTATGAAGGCGGAGGCACATAGGGTTTTTCTCTCTCTTCTGCCTCTATGCTTTCATCTTCTTTCTCGTCTTCTTTTGGTTCGTCTTCCTTCTCAGTTGGTCTACTAGTACTCCAGTACATGGCTGGATTTTTAGTTTTTAGGTCTGTTGGTCCATCTACTTATGTTCCACTCCAAAGTATTATAGCATTAGCATGACCTTTCAAATTTGGTTGTGGTTGGCTAGGAAAAGTGCCAACTGGAGCTTTTGTAGCTTCTTGTTGTTGAGACACTTGAGAGATTTATGTTTCAAGCATTTGGTTATGAGTGGCTAGGACATCAACCTTGTTTGATAGTTTCTTTAGTTGTTAACTAGTGTGTATGTTTTGATTTAGAAAATATTTGTTTTGTTGAGCTTGAGTGGCTACAAAATTTTCTATCATGATCTCTATATTTAATTTCCTAGGAACATTTGGAGCCATTGGGTCGGCTTTCTGGTATCATGGTGGTGTAGTAGGAGCTTGGACAGGTGCATGTAATTCATTGTTGTTCTTGTACAAAAAGTTTGGATGGTTCTTCCAGGTAGGATTATAGGTATTACCGTATGGTTTCCCTTGAGCATAATTCACTTGATCAGCTTGTACTCCTGTTAAAAGTGGACATTTGGGTGCATCATGTGCGTGAAGTCCGCATAGATCACATGTTGGAGCTACTGCAGCCACGGTGGTTGCGGTAGTTGTGGTCAAGTTTTCTATCTTTTAGGAAAGAGCTTCTACCTTAGCGTTAACTTAGTCTAAACTGCTAACTTCGTGCATACCACCTTTTGTTTGAGGTTTCTCCATAATGGTTCTATCTCTTCCCCACTGGTAATGATTTTGAGCCATATTTTCGATAAGCTGATAAGCGTCATGATAAGGTTTATCCATCAGTGTGCCGCCAGCTGCAGCGTCTATCGTTAGTCTTATGTTATACAAGAGACCATTGTAAAAGGTGGTGATGATCAGCCATTCTTCTAGACCATGATGTTGACAAAGTCACAACATGTCTTTGTACCTCTCTCATGCTTCGAAAAGAGATTCACTTTCCTTTTGTTTAAAACCATTGATATTGGCTCTTAGCATAGTCTTCTTACTTGCGGAAAATATCGCACTAGGAAAACTTTCTTCAACTCGTTCCATGTGGTAATAGAGTTGGATGGTAGAGACTGGAGCCAAGCTCTAGCTCTATCTCGTAATGAGAAAGGGAAAAGATGTAATCTTATTTTTTCAGAGCTGACACCATTTGCTTTTACTGTGTTTTCATACTGCACGAACACGGACAAATATAAGTTCAGATCGTCTGTAGGACATCCCAAAAACTGATTTTGTTGGATAACTTGTAGCAACGAAGGTTTTAAATCAAAATCTTTTCGAGCGATAACGGGGGCAGCAATTTTGTTGTGAGGTTCCTCCTATGATGGGGCAGCATAATCCTTCAAAGGACGATTTTGGGGTCCTTTAGACATTCTTGGTTCAGGTTCAGGAAGATATAAATTGGGAAGATTGAATTCGAGAAGATTGTACTTAATTTGGTATTCTCTAATTTGGCATCTTATACTAATAAAATGCTCGACCTCGTCAATTGGTTACTCTAAATCTTTGCCTTGAGAGAGAGTGTTTTGCATATAATCAAAAAATTAAAGGGAATAAAATTTGTTGCCTTAGTCTATACTACGTAACAGAAGAATCACAATATTGACTAAATCAGTCCCGGAAATGACACCAAAAACTTGATCGCGCCTTTAAGAGTCTATCGAAATTACTGACTACAAGTGCACACTCTAATCGCGTAGTTTTAAAAGATATCAAACTCACAAGGACTGATAATCAAACTAATTTTATCTGATGTTACTATGTAATCTAAGGCCGAAAATTAATCTTAGGTTTTTGAGAGAATATGGAGTAAATTCAAATTTAATAAAATATTTGGAATAAAGGATACCAGTATGTAAATCGTCACACTTCAGGGGATCCGACTAACCATTGGCTTTGTTTTTCTTAAAAATACTTTTTAGTAGAAAATATTAGTTTAAAAATCTTTATCTCACACTCTCGTGTTTATTAACTTAGACTGTATTCTTAAATCTAAATGTTTGTTCTCGCTGTCTCATTCGAATTTAAAAACATTTTTTTGAAACCAATAAAATCTAATTAATCCTAAAGTACTCTCATTGTATTTAGAATCAATGTTCAGTTACTACTATCCGATTAAAAATCTCAAATTCCCGTTGTATTGATTTTAATCTTTGTTGTCTATTACTCTCGTAACAAAATAGTTTTAATAAGTTAGTTAGAAACCAAATTCAGGAAAGTAGTTTCTAAATATTTATACCAATAGATTTTCGAATCCCTTCGGTTAGATTATGTTACATACCGGTATCTAAGGAAATTAGCCGGGCATAGTTTTGAATAGAAACGTGCTATAACAGTAGTTAATCATAAAACGAAACATTATTTCAATAACGTGAATATAAATAAAGCTTGAATTAAAAACTTGGAAATAATCTCTAGTACAAAAAGAACTTGACTGCAACTTGAATGAAAATTAACTTCACGATCCTCCACAAATGTCGGCAGGATTCGCTTCCGAAAATACATAATTGAAAAACTAAAATGTAAATATAAAACTAATACTGCATAGCTCCCCGATGTTGAAAGTTACACTTTAAAAATGGTGATTTTTCTGCTTTGAATCTAGAAGGAAAAGTGCTCTGGACAATAGAAATCTCCGACTCCTGTAATTTTCAATCCTCGCCCTTGATTTGCGTAACTCCCTCGAGAAAAATCCGGAATAACTTTGTTTGTGGAGAGAATTTCACCATGCCTAGTTTTGCAGAGGGAAAACAGGTTGAGGGATGGTCTCGTGGCTCTGACTGGGAAAGAACGTGGGTTCTGTTATAAAAAGCCTGTGGCGGTGGCCATAGGAATCGTGGTGAGGGCCACGGTTTTGACATACGTGGCGAGGGCCACAACCTTCTGTGTGCAGATTTTCTTCATTTCTTGTGTTACTTCATATTTTCTTACGTTTTCTTTGTCAATTCCTCTTCTTTTCTTATGCAAGCTTCTTGGAGGAAAACACCTGAAATACAGTAACACTACCAGCATAAATGACTAAAAATGGTAAAATAATTCAAGCGAGTCGAGTAAAAAATACAATGAAATTTCGCGTTATCACCTGTGCCTCGTGAGCACGGGCTTCAACATCAGTTGTATCAGTGGTTCGTCCCACAATAGAATCATCTCTGCCTCTGGTCTTCATTGCAAAATAAGAAAATATCAGAAAAATATAAAATATCGGAAATTTCTAGTAATTTTTCAAAAATATTTGAACTGTAAAAAATTTCAAAATTTCCGATATTATGTGACGAATAGGAAATTTCAAAATTTTCGGTATAAATAATAAATGAAAATATCGAATATTTTGAAATTTACGATACAAAAATATCAGATATTTTGAAATTTTCGATATAAAGTATCAGAAATTTCACAAAAATACCGTTAATTTTCACTTGTTCGCAAAATTTCCGGTATCGCCTTCAAAATTTCCAGTATCGTCCAAAAATTTGAAAAATTCATATGTCTACCTGAATTTGAAATCTGTGGTGAATAATTTGAGTCCGGACAATTTGATGTTTTCATACTATTTGAGGGGTGCCATATATAATATGAGGGGTGACAAGTTAATTTCTCAAATCATGCATTTGGATGAAAATACCCTTTATAAATACTTGCACTTTCAAAAATTATCTTTTTTTTTTCTTATTTCCTTTTTATAAAAATAAATATAATTTTTTAATATTTAAAAAAAATTATAAAAATTAATTTTTTTTTGAAAAAAAATCTTTTTTAAAAAAAATAAATTAAAACAAGCATGCCCTTGATCTAATAATTGATTTGAGATAGTATGGAAAAATGAAAACAAAGCCATAACCATCAGATTATAATTAATAAATTTAACGGCTTAGATTGCTTATTATAAAATAGGCACGTTCTTCGTTACAAATTCACTTTGAGTTTACAACAGATCCTACATTCTCTCCAGCAAATCGCTACATTTAGAATAAAATATATTGATGTTGATGATATTCCTATATTAAAACTATTTGATTACTAAAAATTGAAAACGTGAGGAATATATAACCAAATCAGATCTGGTCGAATAAAAGTTATGATTAGCATAAAGTCCCTTTGAAGTTTCTGATTGGAATAAAAGTTATAGATCTGGTGAAAACATCACGCAGCAAATTGTGTTTCTAAAATCATGATTTCTCAACTTCCATCAAGAATTGGGTGGAGCTGAAAATATATGATAGAATTTTTTTGTAAATATATAATATAAATGGTTACTTATAATTTAATTGAGTTCAAACTTAATCTACTTAATACCAAATCATAACAATAATATATACGGGTCTGTAGTTTGCTTCTAGATCCAGGAAGTTTAAAACTTTTGATAATGGAGATGTGAATTTAACTAGTCATTAGAAATTGCTTCTAGATTTACAAGAATAGAACATTTCAAAAATAAAAATTTGAAAATGACAAGGTTGCAGATCAGAAGACAATCTTTGTCGATAGCAAGAAGATATACATTCCCCTATTCCCATTACAAACTTACTTGCTGATTATTTTTTGCAAAATCCTGCATTACAAACATTCACTATGGAAGGAGGTGGATGCTATTCATTATTGGACTAAACTTTGTCAAAAGGACACTGTTTATACCAATTACATATATAAATAAAGCACTAGTGTTTATTAAACTACAACAGCCAACAAAATAGATAAAGAAAGTGTTCAACTCAGACATCCTGTAACATCTCAGATGCACCAACTCTATCACGCGGAATCAGCCGTAGTTCTGAACCATGCTTAAGGAAGACATTTCCTGAAATAAGTGTCACAATATACGTCAGATCAAAGAAAATAATAATCACTTGTGTTCCATCTAATGTAATCCATAAATTGCATTTAAGAACATAACCATTTTATGGATAGTACCAAAACCAATGTCAAAATGTTGGAACAGAATATCAGATGATGTTCATCCCAGATGCATAACCAAATTACAGAGAAAAAGGAAAACCTTCAAGCAACATTCTGCTTGTTTTTAGTTGGTTGGATAATTATTTTTATAAGATTTTAAGGGGAAAAAAACTGTAACAGAATACTTTTTTATCAAGAAAATATGATGAATATTTTAATATACTTCGATAAAGGCATGCAATGCACCAAAAAATAAAAGATATTCAAATACGTCAAGTCGTCAAGTGGCATACAATAAAAATAAATAAAAAAAGAGACCAAAGAAACCAAGGATATACCTGCACTTTGCTGAGGATTTATCCCAACACCATCTGCAAGCATAGCAAGTAACAGGAGTTATAGCAAGCCTGCATTTAATAAACTAACAGAAATATGAAAGAATAGAATAAATTTTCTTGCACTCTTGCATTGTGTTCAACGTCCAGATATACCATCACTTGTTAAAACACCCAACAAAACTTTTATATTTATGCAATGTACCATGATTTTTTTTTAAATGTATAGAGAAATCATAACATGAAACACAGGACGCCACCAGGACAAGATATGCAGTCCAAAAAGTACAAACAGAACAAACAAAGCTACTATTTGATTCATTAACGGCACTGAACCCTGTTTTATATGGGGGGGAAGAGTTTACTCAATTCGAAAGATGAGACATGCCACAAGGCACAGCATCAACAGGGGCTTATAGTGGTCCTTAAACCTACCATTGGACAAATACCAGCAAGAACTGTATCTGCTACACTGTTTGATCCTATCAGTTAAGCCCACTCTCCTTTTACCAAACATTTAACTGACCACAAAACCATCTTGGTTTCAGAAAACATTTCGTTTAAAATTTGATTTACAAAACCGTCTCTTTTGTTTCACTTTTTTCTATTTTCAATGTGCAGAGCAGTAAAGTGTTTTAACTGTTCCCTATATAAACATTTGAATACAGAAAACAAAGTAAAAATTACATGGTTGTTTTGTAACGAAAAATGAACAGAAAAATATAAACAAAAAATGATTTCTAAAACCAAATAGGCCTTAAAATGTTCCACTACAACAAATCAATGCACTTTTCTTCTTTTCCTATTTCTTTTTAGTCAACATTAAAATTAAATGATGGTAAGAAAGACATTTGACTCCAAAACTTCCATGAGATGATATACCAAATGATTGCTAGTTAGCTTATAACAACAACCGAGCTTTATCCCATTCGGCAGGGTTGGCTAGACTGATAAACGACGATATAAATAATATTCAATCATTGATCATGTCTATAGTCAAACTATTGATCTCTAAGTCTCTTTGAATAGTTTCATCTTTAACTTTTCTTGTCCTTCCTCTGCTTTTAGTGATTGGGCTACCATCCATATGATTTACTCTACTTACCAAGGAGCTTACATGTCTCCTCCATCTGTGCCCAAAAACCACCTAAAACCACCTAAGTTGAGATTCAACCATCTTTTCTACAATAAGTGTTATCCCAAATCTCTCTATTTCTATCATTCTTAATCCTATCCTGTCTAGTATTTTCACTAATCTAGTGCAACATTCTCATATTTGTTACACTAAGTTTATTCCCATGATGTCATTTTACTGCCTAAGACTCCACTCCGTGCAATATTGTTGTTGTTATAGTTGTGCAAAAAAAAATTCTCCTTAGCTTGAGTAGCACCTTGTTATCACATAAAAATACCTAAGGCCCTACTCTATGTCAATTCAACTATTCTGTTGAAACTAATAGTTCATCTCCATCTGAGTCTTTTAGTAGAATGGACCCTAGATATTTAAATTGTGTAATTTGTGGTATGATACAGTATCTAACTTTCACTTCTAAGCTAGGGTGCTTTGGCTTTTCCTAAACTAACATTCCGTATGGTTTTTCGTAAATGGAAGCCATGTGCTTCTAAAAGCTTGTCTCCAAATCTCTAGTAAACTTCTGTTTATTTCCTCCCTTGACTCTCAAAACAAAGCTATAAATGTGCTCCATTAGTACATTTATGACTAAGGTAAAAAGATAGGAACTTAAAATGATTTATGGAGTCTTGTAGTTATGGAAAAGTATTTTGTAGCCCCATCTTAGCATTCTCACACTAGTTGTGGCCTTATCATTCATATATTTGCATAGTAGTCATTCTCGGATGGCAGCGCAGAGCAGCCGACCCCAAAAGTGGAATAGCGGGATAGCATATAGTGGAACGATCGCTCAATTTGATCATTTTTTGGACAAATTACATATAATAATTATATACATATATTTAATGTAAAATTAAACAAATAACTCCTTGATAAAATATTCATAAATCAAAGCACACATGACTCTTGAAGTGCATAAACGATTATGAAGGAAGGTTAAGGTTGAGTCCCAACTCAAATTTGATTGAAAAACCCAAAAGTATCCATTAAAATGTCCTAAATTTAAGGGGTAATTTGATTTTTTTAAGGGGTAAAAGGATTGCGGACCATAAACCGCTCTGATCCGCTATACCGCTATTTACCATATAGCGGCCGCTATGATGTTCAGCACCACTATAGTGGCCGGCCTCCGCTCCATAGAACTGCCATTTGATATCACCCTGATCATTACATTGACGCTGAAAAATGTTTTTATCCCTTCTCTACAACAAAACCCAAACGAATTGGATTTATGGCTCAGAGGCCAACTGCAGAAGCGCCGTATGAAAGCAAAATAACAATTTTATAGAGATAAATTTTATTAGAGAAATAGGGAAGAACCAGATATAATGCAAGAAACACAAAAACTAGGTAAAATAAGGTACATGAATAACCTAAAACAATGCATTTAAGGCTACCCAAATTCTCTATCTCCATAACGGCAGGGCTTATAGTAGCCCTGACAAGAATAACCATGCAGAAGCAGATCACAGTCATATCATAACTAATTTAACGATCGAGACACTGCTAAAGATCCCAACATTCAACTTCAGCTAGATCCACAAAGAATTGCATAAGTGAAACATTGCCATACCTATGTAACAAAAAATTGTGCTACATATTCCCCCAAAATCGGATAAACCAATCTGTCTAGACCTAATCGATTCAATAATCAAATCAAAAAACCTATAAAAAAAAATCGAAATTCGAAAAACTTGATGGTAAAAGCAATTACCATTGGTGATAATAGCGCTGGTTTGTGGAGGAACCTTGAATTCCTCGGCCGCAAATTTGAGAACGGCGGTAAAAGGTGCAGCCTCAGGAACGCTGAACCTGAAATCGTGAAAATAGAGGAAAATTAGAATGATCGAGAACATGCAAAATAAAAACGAGAGAGAGAGAGAGAGAGAGAGAGAGAGAGAGAGAGAGATGATGATGACATACACTTTGAAGGGTAGCTTTGGATCGGAAGTTAGGGTCACCTTGAACGATACCTTTCCGCCACCGTTCGCCATCCTAACTATTCACCAACGACGATTCTAACGCTACCCTGTCTCAACCCACGATACCTTATAAAACACCACTCTAGATTAATTAAGAAAAGAAAAGAAAAAAATTATGGGTGTTTTTATTAAGAAAATGTTAAGCACTTTTTCTTTCTCAAAGATTGAAATTTTATTTTTGGAAGTATTATATATTTTTCAAAAATCTTTAAAATTGTAGTTTTTAAGGGACGAAGTTATTTAATTTAATTTTAGGTTTAATTTTAATCTCTTATGTAATAAACATTACAATTTAGTTTCTTAAAAATAGTTTTGTTATTCAACTTCATCTTATTTGTTAAAGGATGAAAATAGACGTTAATTTGAGATAATGCGACATGATTGTATGACAAAAGTTAATATAGTGAGTCAACAATTTAGTTAAGAGACTAAATTGAAACTTTATAATTAGTTAAGGGATTAGACTTTGAACATCAACCAAACTGCAATTAAAGTAGCTAGACTAAAATTTTATCACATTTTATCGGATCATAACCCATTATTTATCATACCAGAATTTCATATCAATAGAATTTTAAATTTAATAACATTAAACTATAATTTTATTACATTCTTTATTAAAACAAAAATCAAAATCCAAAATTAAGAATCAACCACGTGTTATATGCTTTAATAAAGAAGGAATTGAGTATTTCTCTTTACATTGATTAAATAAGGGACGAATGTGAAATATGAAATTAAGTTAAGGAACCAAAGAATGAATTAAACCTAAATCTTATTTTATTTTTTAAAATTTTAATTTGTATCCTTAAAGTATTTGTTAACTAGATATTTTTATTAAATTATTTTAATAAGTTTCATGATTATAAGTTATTTGAATACTTGCAAAGATTATAATAGGGTGGATTGCGTTGGCGATGTATCAGATGAAAATGTTTTTTTTTTCCTGATATTTCTAAAAATTAAATCTCCTTCTCAACCGTAAGAGTTGGAATATTTATAGATCTAACTTGTTGGCCAAATGGTTGGGATAGAAATCAATTCCCTCCTCACTACTTTGACTAGAGCGTAGAGATAAGAATAATGAATGGTTCTCCCCATTATTAGGAATATGAAGACCAACTTTCCACGTTAGTAAGAAGACGTGGTTCTTCTTTGGAGAAGTGACAGATATCGACTCTTTCTGGTACATGTGGCCTCACATGTATTATCGCGACTACCACTTAAATAACACGAGTTTGGGTCGAGCAACTCATGACCCACTGTATTGTATCCACCCATTTCGTCCAATGACTCTTTTATGACGCTTTTGAGCTGATCGAATCTTGAGTTATTTTCTTCAACATAGTCCGCAATCCCTCAAACACGATGTCTGAAAAGGGAAAAGTTATAAAACTCTTTTTTAGCGATATTTAGGAAATTGAGTCTCCAACAAGACTTTAAAAGTCAAGTCCATTAGGCTAGACTTGACAAGGTGAGTCCCACGAGTCTTATAAAGTTGATTCCCTTAGATGATACTTGAAAGGTTGAGTCCTTCGGGCTAAACTTGAGAAGGCGGGTCTCACAAGCAAGACTTACAAAGTTGAGTCCCTTTGGTAAGACTTGAAAGTTGAGTCCCTCAGACGGTACTTACAAATTTTGTGGGACTTGAAAAGGCGAGTCCCACAGTTGAGACTTACAAAGTTTCCGAAACTTCAAAAGTTGAGTCCCTTGGACGAGAATTGAAATGGTGAATCCCTTAGCAAGACTTAAATAGTTGAGTCCCCAATATAACTATTAGTCCTTTCCTTTTATAATATTTTTATTGTTGCCCCAATAAAGGTTTTCTTGTAACATCTCCCTTCAGAATCTTTTAATGATAACACTCTTGCCATAGGCGATATGTTTATTGATTTCGTGTTTTCATTGTTCTTTAAGTTGACGAAGATACCTCATGAGGCCTAGCCATGATGGGTAATGATAATTTCCATTCCTGACTTGAACTAGATGGTCTCTTAGGGCGACCATAACTTTTCATTGAGAAATGAGGTTTGGGAAGGGCGGGTGATTTAATTATGTGAGATGCTGATATCCTTTTAGAGAAGCACATCCCTGAGACAAAAATTATGGGGCAAGTTTCTCAAGCATAGCTTAGAGGGTCAAACCCTCAAGCAAAGGTTAATACAAGTCCCTCAAGTGTTGCTTGGGGCAAATGCAACGTTTTAATGCTTTAGGTATGTGTATTTGTGTTTGCTATTTGTATTTTTGTCCTTTGTGGACCAATTTGTAACCACCCACTTCAAGGTTTTTGTCTAATGAAAATGTTCACGTCTTTTGGCGGGTTGTTTATTGATTTCTTGAATTTTATTATTCATAACATTAAGTCATAGTCCTGGAGCATGTTCCCTATTGGGAATTTGAATGAGCGACCTATTAAGGTGGTGACGACTCCCCGATGAAGTCGAGTATTTATAGCCTAATGATATGGTAAAGTCTATCTTCTCAGATCCAGAAAATGTGTGATAAGTTGAAAAATATCCTTCTGTAAAAGTTTGAAAAAGTATTGTCGGATAAGGCGGTAAAGGTCCTTCAGTGAAGGTCTGATAAAGTATTTCTTGATAAGGCAGCAAGGACTCTTTTGTGAATGTCCATCAAAATATTATCTGTTAAGGCGGTAAGGATCCTATTGTGATGGTCCGACAAAGTATTGCTTGATAAGGCGGTATGGATCATTTTATGAAGGTCCAACAAAGTATTTTTTGATAAGGCAACAAGGATCCTTCTCTAAAGGTCCAATAAAGTATTGTCTGATAAGGCGACAAGGATCCTTCTATGAAGATTCAGTAAAATATTGCATGATAAGGCAACAAGGATCCTACAATGTTGTGTACTTTTATTTCTCATGCTTCCAAAATTAACTTGTCTGATCGGTGGAAATAGAACTGACTATTTTTAGCTGGTTCACGAAATGTCGCAGAAGCAAGAGTCGCCACCGTCTTTTATTTTCTTCAACATGGAAAGGACAAAAGCACAGCAAAATTCCTTATGAGAACGTTTCTCGGTTCGGGAGGTAGATTTATATAAAGGGAAGGTGTTAGCACCCTTTCTATCCATGGTTATCCATGGGCTCTTAGGTACTTGCTCTTATGTTTTCAAAATGATTTGTTTGCTTTTCAAATATGAGTGGGTTTGAAAAAAGTTTCTTTGAAAGATTTCTGAATAACTCTTGTATTTGTCCTCAAGAGTATTTGAAAAATTTGTTTTGAAAGCTTTTGAAAGTGTGAGGTGTGAAAAGTATTTTGTTTGTTTTTGAAAAGAGCAAGTACCCATGAGTCATCTACCTACCCTAAGGAATTAAGCTGTGTAAGTGTCCTTTAGATAGTGTTATCCCACCATTGAGAGGTAGGTAGCACCATCGTCGGAGGTGTTCGGGTCAATTCGATTATCGGGACAGTGTGGTCACCGAAGCAACAGTTAGGACACCTTAGAAGTAACCCTAATGTCCTAGATCCTCTTTAATCCGAGGCAACCGTTTCGAGGCAACTGTTTCGAGGCAACTGGATCTTTAGACTAAGGGTGACCTCTAAAACGTCCTATACTTGATGACCACGTTTCGAAGGCAACGAGTGAGGCGTACCCTAGAAGTGGTGTGTGCTTTGTGTGTTGTATTCAGTTAATGTTTGTCTTTGTAATTAGTGAGCTACGAGTTGTTTTTATTTACCATACATTCTTTCATGCAAGTTTAGCAGTTGAGGGGTGCGGAAAGTAAATTGCGGAAACATAAATCCTACGCTATTACAAGGCGCGGGTCTATACATCGCCAAAAATACAAAGACCCGTTTTTGGTAAATAAGTACGGAAAGTAAATAAAAACAGTAAACCTAATTAACTATTACATGTCTTGGAAGCAATTACATAATAATCAGAAATAAGGAATTAAAACTGAAATGCGCGCGAAAGAAAGAATCGGGAATGTCTTAAAGGTGTTGACCCTTTTTAGAAAAAGAAATTGATTTTTTTTGGTCTTTTAGAATTAAAATGAAATTAATTAAATAAACCTAATCTAATTAATTAAAAGAAAATATATTTTTGTTTTTTTATGTTTTTTCATGAAATGGAATAAAAATAAAAATAAACAAAATTAAAAGTTAACCTAAATCTAGGCTATTTTAGTTATTTTAAAAAAGGGTTAAAATGGCCTAATTAACACTAATTCAATTATTGTTTATTTACAAAAATAAAATAATAATAATAATAATGTTAGTTCTATTTTTTTTATTTTTATGAAAATATGTTAATTATATTAATTGTGTTAATTGTGTTAATAATAAAAAAAATAAAATAAGGGTTAGGAATTAAATTGGAAAATAAAAAATGAAAAGAAAAGAAAAGACCAATGGAAGGGGGTATTGGGCCAGGAAGGAGGGTGCATTGCTGAAATTGTGGCCCATTGAACCTTCAGCTCGTTGACTTTTCATGGTGGCCTACGCATGCGCTGACTCCAGAGTATGGTGTCCCTCACTTCTTGCCCTTTGGATCTGCACTGATGAACACCTGGAGCGCTGGGATATGAGGTTTATGGTGTTCCTCTTTTGAGAATCTGCACATGAATACATTGAAAAAAATAGCATTGGAATTATGGGGGACCTGGGAATCGAACCCAGGTCCCAACGTTTACCAAACACACTGCCAACCACTACACCAAACGCATTTCTTTGTAAATATAATATGAACAAAAGAATATATGACATAAGTGCCTCATATGCTGAAACGCGCGCGCGAATTCGAACGGACCACTCCCTGCTTGCCACGCCATCGTCTTCAAGCTTTTCCTGTAAACATAAAACATATAGCGGGGGTTTTAAACCCCCACAAAATACAGGCATATTGGAAATAGCGATTAGCAATTGGGACAACATAAAAAAGGCACGACATGTCCATTCAATCCGTCTTGAGCTTCTGAGTTTGACCATGCCTGTTTTGAGGTTCAATTTTACAGTATATAAAAAAGCCCAATTCTAAAGCTCTGAAAA